CTTGATCGTGGAGGATAAGGAGACTTACGCCGTCCCATCATCCCCCTCAGCATCTTTAGTCAACGCAGCTTTAATAACTTCAGTCCACCTCCAGTGCTTTTGTAAAACCCCTCAAGGACCCCTGCCATCCCCACGACTAGAAGTACCTACTCGAGTCGATACCAGGGAGGATTGTGAAGTGACATCTACTGACGGTAACAGAGCCTTCAAATTTCCCCCACTTACATTAGCCTTGCCTCCGGACACAGTCTGCGCGTCCGCCTAGTCTTATCCACCCCAGTTAACGATCTGACAAGAGGGACGACATTTCCCGGGAGGTAATCGCCGCACAGACACTCGTGTGACATGGCACGGCAGGAGCAACCTCTGATACCCTGTACGGAGGCAGGAAACATCACCCCCAAACGAAGCACACCAACCGTCGTGGTCGAGACAACTCCCGCACGCGTACTTAGCATCCTCAAACTTTTGTAATCAAGCCACCCAATGTCCCCAAGTGTTTGTACGTTAGGATTCACAGTACTTGCTTTATTAAAAACCTTATAACGACATTATATATATCCAGTCCTTGATTTAACGACGTGGAGAGCGCGAATCCCGCGATCTAAAATTCAAAGGTGTATGAGACAGTGTCTTGATTTTATTTATCGCTTAGAATCGGCACTTACAATTACATCGACGTGATGTCAAGATGTATTCACTATGGCGATGGTCGCAAAAGACGAACGCTGGTGGCATTCGTTGAGGATAAGTCGAATCGCTCAACCACTCCAAGTCTGATTATTTAGGTGAACTAGGGGACGGTGCTGGTTTTGCCAGTCAAGTTCGACCAGGAGGGAAGTTAAGATGATCGGTTTATACGATGATGTCTCACTTCAATTTAGTCCCGCAAGCCAAGTGAAGAAGTCGATTACATAGTATGCAACACTACCTGGAACGTCGTGATGACCGACGACGACGGCAATCGTACGCATAGTGGCCTCGCTCACCACACTCGAAGCAGCGATCGTTAGGGTCAAACGGCCGAGTTCGGCGCTCACCGTAACGATCTCCGTCACGACCCCCGCGAATCCATGGCTTAGGACGAGTTCTGCCATTACTTAGTTCCACACGAGCGCGGACGCCGCAAATAACTCTACAAGAGCACTGAGAACAAAAGCCCGCACTTACGTTCCATCGAGATCTCTTACAGCGTCTTCTGCGTCTGCCGCGTCCTCAAACTCAATGAAGGCGAACCCTGGTGGGTTCCGTGCAACCCACACATTCCTCACAGTACCGTAGCGATCGAAAACACGAGCAAGCTCCTTCTCTGAAGCGTCCCTAGGCAAGTCGCCAACGTAAACCTTCGTCACAGAACGAGACCGCGGCATACTTCAAAATGGCGACATGGGATTAGGTCACCTAAACAAAAACTTCATTAAAGTGGTTTTAAGAGATCAAGTTAAACCCGTTTCAAACAAAGTCTTAGAAATAAGTAAGACTATTATAAATTAAGATATTTAAAGGCGCAAAAGGGTTTTTTTTAAAAAAGTATTTTTTCTCTTAGATATTATTAATCGAATGTATTTCGCTTATGCTTTGTGTCTTCAGAAGTGCAATCTATGAAGTAAGTGAGGGTAGTATGCTCGCCTTAATATGGATTTCAGCATTTTAAGTTTTCCAAATCAGAAATCAAAGGCCAAAACTCGGCTTGGATGCGAAAGATTAGATTGAACTGTGGCACATAGTTCATTTGTCTATCAGCATGGCTAGTGGTCGCCATTATTCGCCATTCCCTTATTTGCATGGGCTTTCCTTCAGAACAAATCAAAGTCTAACCTTTTCGTCTTCCCCTTAAATACATGATTTTTGATCCTGCATTAT